GCGCTCCTCGCCCCGCCCCGCCCCGTCCTCCACCAATCAGCGCCGCTCAAGGAGCCCACCGGGACCAATGAGAACCCGCGGATGCCATCCCTGTGAGGGGCCGTCTCCGAGCCCGGGCGCCCATGTTTATGAGGGGCAAGTACCCCCGGGCGGCCTCTCCCCTGGTAAACTTGCACCGCTTTTGTCATCCTCCTCCCGAGGCCACATCCCTCAGAAGAGCCACTCGCAGTCAGCAGCCCTCGGCCTCCGCTCCAGGCCAGAACCAGCTCCGAACCAGCTCCGAGCCGGGTGAAGTGACCTGATAGCAGTCACTGCACCGCGGCCCCCAACGTCCCAAATCAACACGGAGACCACAGGCAGCGGGGGTGCGGTCCCTGCCCTCGGGAATCTGACAGCCCGATTGTGGGCAACAGAGCAAACACCAGGCCCCTGCGCTACTGGCGTCCCCAGCCCACCCTGGGCAGCCTGGGAAGTCTTTCTGGAAGGAAGCAGCCTCCTGGGGGAGGCCGGGGGTAAGGGGAGTCAGCGAGGGGTAGGGGTGGGAGACAGGTTTCTGGCAAACGGAGGGAACGATGTGTGAAAGGCACCCAGGAACTGCACTTCCACCTGGTTGAGCCCCATAGTGCCAGCATGCTACATCCAGCAGCACGTGTAGCCTGATAAGAAATTTGGATGACAAAAAAACGGTTTTAAAAGAGATGACAAGGTTAGATTTGCACTTGAAGAGTTGCTGTGTGGGGAGCGCCTTTCTCCTCCACAGAAACAGTAGTAAGGAGAGTCCCTTTTTGACAGCTGAGGTCTAGGAAGGCGGGTAGGGGTGGCTGCAAACATCCCTGTAGAGAAGTTCCCACAGATGAAAGGCAATCCTTCAGAAAACGGATGGAATTTCAGGACCTCTCTCCTTTCCTGCAGGCATTGGGGTAACTATTTATGAGATTGATTTTGAAATAAACAAATGAGGTGTTGGGAAGACGCCTTAGTTAGCTGGCTGGATTTCCGCTCTTCACATCAGGGCCAGGTGGCGGCACCTGGGAGATAAAGAGGTCCTTTCCTCTCTTGGTTTCTTTCTTTTTAATAATTGAAACTTTCTCCATACATACACATGTATATTAATTTAGTAACTGCATAAAAATTATCATAAATAAGTTTTAAATTTCTTTTGCTTACCCCTCCCCTCACTTCCTCCTTTGGAAATCATTGACAACCGTGTGTCCCACAGTTTTCTATGCTTGTGAAATCAAAGACACACCTAGATATCTATAGGACCTTGTCAATGCAGATGATAATTTTTTGTCAACTTTCTTTTTTTTTATTGTCTAAAGTTTTACATATGTCTCCTTTTCCCCCCGATTTGTCAACTTTCTTACTCAACAATAGGCGTATAAGGATTCTTCTAAGACAAGGACTTAGCAAACAGTTAAGTAGCACTTCTCTGGCCAGGCATTGCTCTAAACACTTTCTACCTAGTTGCTCATTTAATCATCACAATCCTATGAAACAGGTGGTAGTAATATCTTCTTTGTTTCACAGGTGAGGAAACTGAGGCACAAAGGAATAAAGTTACACGCCCAAGTCACAAAATCAAGATTTTTACTCTGGCACCGGGAGTCCTTGTTCCTAGCCTCTCTGCCCCCCTCCCACTCCAGGTGCCAGCATCCTAACTCCCCTCCCCTCAAAGCTATCAAAGTTCTGTTTCTTGTGATCTTTCCAGAGAAATTTCATGTATCTATAAACAAATACAAATATATATAGATTTTTCTTGTATAGTCACAGGTAGCAGACCATATAGGCAGGTCTGTGTTGTACTTTTACCACATGCCTTTATATCCTGGACCTGATTCTGAGCCGTGTCAGTACATAAGAGCCGCCCCATTAGCTGCCTGGTGTGGGCGTACTACTGTGTATGTGACCAGTCTCCTGCGGAAGGACATTCAGGTTTCCAGGATTTTGGCATCACAAGCAGTGCTACAATCAGGAACATTTTATCCTCCTCATTTCTTCATGTGCCAGGGTATCTGATGCATAAATTCCAAGACAAGCAACTGCTGGGTTGAAGGTGATCTGCATTTGATACTTTCATACTTATTGTCACACTGTCCTCCCACCCCCGCGGGCATGAGCCAGCCCTTTCTTCACCCACACAGGCGTTAGCCAACCTTGACCCTTGTCAATATCACATGTGGAAAATGCATTCTCGGGTTAGTTATCAGTTGCATTTATTTTATTTTTTTTTTAATATATCTTATTGAGTTTTTTACAGAGAGGAAGGGAGAGGGATAGAGAGCTAGAAACATCGATCAGCTGCTTCCTGCACAACCCCTACTGGGGATGTGCCCACAACCAAGGTACATGCCCTTGACTGGAATCGAACCTGGGACCCTTCAGTCTGCAAGCCGATGCAGTTAGGGCTGCATTTATTTTATTTGGAGGAGGCTGGGCACTTTACCTTATTTTTAAAAACCTTTTGTATTTCCTTTATCGTCTGCTCACCTCCTTTGTATCATTGCTTTTCATTTGAAAAGTCAGAGGTGTGAATCGTGATATGAGACTATTAAGGGGTCGAACCCGTTGGTGAGACAGTACGAAGAGTGGGATCCCATTTTTGTTAAAATAATAATTTAGAAATAGCCTGGAAGTTATTCCCTAAGTGGGAATGGTGATTAGCTCCAGGTGGCCAGACTAGAGGTGACTTTTGCCTCCTTTTGCTTCTGTGGATTTTATAAAATTTCCCCTGGAGCAGGCATAATTAGGAAAAAGAACGGACGATTCCTACCACTCTGGGTGGCTGCCCCTCGGCGCACCTCTTGTCTGACTTTCTGGTCCAACTGGTCAGGACACTGAGACCCAGCGAGGGGCCCAAACTGCCCTGGAACCTGGTGTGGCTTCCCGGAAGCTCCTGGGTCCCCACTCATGGCCACGAGGGGCCCTAGGAGGGCGCCAGGCATGTGGTGCAGGGCCGTGCGATAGCCAGGCCACAGAAAGGCTGGCTCAGGCCTGCCTCCTCCCCTCTGAGCTGGGGAAAGCCTTCGCTGCTGTAACCGGAGAGCAGCTGTCTTACTGCTTTTCAGAGGGAAAATGCTTGTTTTATTCTATTTGTTATCTCACCCTCTGTGACCATTGTCTGTGGCACCTGCTCCCTGGGGGGTAAGATTTCTTGAGCCCCCTCCTGGCCAGGCGCTGTGCTGAGCCCATTTTACAGGCGAGGAAACAGGACCTGAGGAGCCACCTGCGAAGGAGACCAGCCAGCAGGGTGCAGCTCCTTTGATTCCCGTAACTACTGACTTAGCCCCTCTGATCAAGCTGGGGAATCCCTGGCTAATTTTCTTCATTTGTAACTTGGATTTTCTTAAATAAGAGTTAATGTGAGTGCATTCTAGACACCAGCATGGTGCAGAGGCCCTTCACATGCACCTGTCTTCTTGGATCCTCACACGCCCTGCAAGGAAGGTTCTGTTCCAGGACCCATTTCTCAGAGGAGGCAACAACGGCCTAAGAGGGGAAGTGACTTAATCATTCACTGGGCACCAGACTCCACCCCCAAGCCACCCCCTGGACGCTGCCCCACTCGCTGCTCTGTGCCCAGTGAGGTGACCTGGTCATCTGGTTAACAGAGCTGTGGCCTTGAGCCGGCTCTTACTTCAAAGGGAGGACCTGGGGCTGGTGAGGAGCCCTGTGAAGTGCAACACTCACCAACCCTGGGGGCTTCCCTCAGTTCTTTCTCCCCCGAAAGGACCCACACCATGTGACCTGGGCAAGTCACCTCATCTCCCTAGGGCTGTAGCCTCAAAGTGAGAGGGCCTAGATAACCGTGTAGGAGCTACTGTCTCCAAACCCTGGTGTCTGGGCCTGCCCCTCCTCTGCTGCTGGGCACAAGGCTCTGTCCAGTGGACTAGGAAGGCATGGCCCAGCCTGGCGTGCGGCCCCAGGCAATGCTACTGCAGCCTTGCATTCTCACCTGGGCTTCAGACTGCACAGGGAGGGAGGGAGGCACCTTCTTGTGATACCCATTCAACAGAAGAGGAAAACCCAGGGAGCAGGTGCCACAGACAATGGTCACAGAGGGTGAGATAACAAATTGAATAAAACAAGCATTTTCCCTCTGAAAAGCAGTAAGACGGCTGCTCTCCGGTTCCAGCAGCGAAGGCTTTCCCCAGCTCAACTAAGCTAAGTGGCTAAGTGGCTTGTCTAGTGTCTCTCAGGACATGAACCTAGGTCCACGCTCACCCCTCATAGCCAAGCCCAGGGTTCCCAGCCCCAGCCCTAGCCAGTCCCTGCCCCAGCCAAGCTGGAAGGCTTCCGCTGCTTGGTGAGCCTCCTCACCTCGCTGAGCCCTGTTGCTTCATCTGGAAAGTGGGGGTTGCAGTGGTGCCCACCTCAGGGAGCTGGATGAGGCCGAGTGAGAGATGCTGGGCCCAGAGCACAGAGCCAGGGCTCTACCCATGTGCCAAGGTTAGAAATCTTTAACGGCTCTTAACCACACCTACCAGATCTATAAACTGCAGGCAATAATGGTTTCAGATCTGTAAGATGCAGATAACAATGGGCACAGGGCCAGCAGGCAGTGAACACTTATCCATGTTGCCTTTATTGTTATTTTTTTGCAGGTTACCAAGATCATCGGTGGTGTTTCTTTTCTTTTTTTTTAAATCCTCACAGGAGGATATTTTTCCATTGATTTTTAGGGAGAGTGGAAGAGAGAGGGAAAGACAGAGAAATATCAATGTGAGAGAAGCACATTGATTGGTTGCCTCCTGCAGGCGCCCCGACCAAGGCCTGGGCTGGGGAGGAGCCTGCAACCAAGGCTGTGCTCTTGACCTGAATCGAACCTGGGACCCTTTGGTCCGTAGGCTGACGCTCTATCCACTGAGCCAAACCGGCCAGGGCTGTTATTATTAAAATGAGACTAGCAGTCCTCTTCACAGAGTAGTCCTGAGAGTTCAATAAGATGAAACCAGCCTACAGACACACGCCTGGCACACAGGCCCCTGGAGGTAGCTCTGCCAGCAGCCCCGCCTGCCGGTTCTGCTCTGAGACCCTCCACAGCCACACTGGGTGGGGCTCCTGTGGAGCCTCCACCGGGCAAGCCTCAGGGCCCCTGACCACCCTGAGACCAAGGCTTATCAATGACAAGGTTTTCCTTGAAAGTGTGGGCTCATCATGGCTGATGATCTCGGACCCCTGAGGCATATGCACACCAATTTGTACAAAAGAACGAACAGAGGCTTAGAGAGGCAGGCGCCTGGCTGTGGCCCAAGGTCACAGTGCTCTCCTACCTGGAAAGAGGCGGATGTAGCCGAGAAAGGCCCCCCGGATGGGCTCGGCTGCTCCATGCTTGCTTCACACCACAGCTTCTCAGCCACTGGCCAGGAAGTAGCGAAGGACCTGGCACCTTTCATCCCCGGCCTTCATGCTCCCCACCCAGGCGAGCAGTGACCGCAGGCCACCTCTGCAAGCCCAGGCTTTAGCTGGGCTGGAGACGGGAGGGGGAGTTGAGAGGATACCCAAGATCCGCCTTCTCCCCACCCAGAAGCCCAGGGCCTCCCCTGTGCAGGGAGGAAGGTCTCACCTGATAGGTTCCTGCTCTCATCCTGGGACCTGCCCAGGGACCTCGTGTCCTCCCTGGAGGTTTCCAGAGTGCAGTTCCCATGAGTTAAATAACAACTGGGTGGGGGTTAAAGGTGAGCAGGTGGGCGGGGACTTGCAGCGCTAGGCGCTGGCTTTGTTGGGCCTTTTATCACAGCCTATCTCCCCTTATTGTTAGGACCCATTTGCCCTGGCCCTGGCCCACTGGGATCCCTGAGGACGGGGGAGTAGAATTCAGGGGTGAGTCTAAGCCTGCTGGGGGGAGCGGCTGTGGTTCTCCAAATCATTTGGTTAAGAAGCCAGGACACAGACCCGTTTCCCAGCCTGCAGGGTGACACTGAGGGCCCGAGGGCCGTCCAAACACAGCTGCTAGTAAGTCCTTTCCTGTTGACACTTGAGATTCACAAGTGCCAGACACTACTGTGCTTCAGGGTAATGTTCTGGACACACACCTCCCTCCACAGACTGGGATGAATAACAGGGCCCATGCCTGCCACTGGTCCTGACCTCCTCTCTGGGGTGTTCTATGGGGAAGTGGGGTGTGGGGGGAGCTTGGAGCCAGAACTCCAGGGTTTAGGGCCTGCTGTGGTTGTTTTAAAGTATGGTTTGAGTGCACGAATAAAAACATTAATTCAGGGAACATGAGAAACACGGGGAAAAAGAACAGAACCGCTCCAAATAACCATGGGTAGTTCTCGTGACTGTTTTTCCTATATAATGAGCTCAAGTGGCGTGTTTCCCACCTGCTGCCTTTGGAACCACTTCCCAGCACAGTGCACGTACCTGGACATCCTCTCTCCTCCCCCAGCTTCAATCCCAGGGCCCTGGCCTGTCCTGGCTGCACCGACCCCGACCAGCTGCTAGAGGCGCCCTTCCCCGCCGAATGGGGTTAGGATGTACACGGGAGTTAAAGCACTGCTCTTATTTAAGCTGATGGAGGTTTATGCTTTCCACATGCAGGGCTGCCCTGAACAGGGTGGGTGCACTGGGCAGCGGTAGCAGGAACAGGTTAGGGGTGCGGCCTTTCAGGTTACAGTCCTGGCGTGGCCACATGGCCCTTCTATGGGACAAGAATCCCACACGCCTAGGCTCTCTTAGCCTAGGGCAGCGGTTCTCAACCTGTGGGTCGCGACCCCTTTGGCGGTCGAATGACCCTTTCACAGGGGTCGCCTAAGACCATCCTGCATATCAGATATTTACATTACGATTCATAACAGTAGCAACATTAGTTATGAAGTAGCAACAAAAATAATTTTATGGTTGGGTCACAACATGAGGAACTGTATTTAAAGGGCCAGAAGGGTGAGAACCACTGGCCTAGGGAGACTCACTTGTTCCTAATCCCCCTCCATGGGAGGGGCTCCTACTTACTGTCCTCCGCTCCCTTCCTCCTGTTCTCCAGTGACCCTGCTGCTCCCAGCAGGTCTCGGAGGAAGGACTCCACCCGATGGCTCTTGCCAAGGTCACCACTGACCTCGCCACAGGTAAGCCCAACAGTCAGCCCTCACTCTCTTTTGGACCCATCAGAATTTGTGTAAATGATCACTCCCTCCCCCTAAAATCACTGTCCCTTAGCTTCTGGAACCCACTCTCCCTCTTGTCACTTCTTACCTCATCTGTTGCCCTCAATCCCCAGACGTCTAACACTTGGCGTGCCCAGTGGGCCTTGTCTCGCCTCCTCCAGTGGGGACTCCCTGAGAAAACAGACGGGACAACTGCTCCTAAGACATTTCTCTAAGTGGAATCGCTGGGTCCAAGAATAAGAACCTTTTATAGAAACCGGATCCTTCAGAGAAGAAACCCATACCTTGAACAATTAAACTGGGCCTGTGAGCTTTCCTGCTATAGTCATGTCATTTAAAACCCAGCCACCTTGTTGCTGTAGCTGTAGGACACCTTGCTGTTTTTGTCCTTTGATTACTAGTTGTACTGAATTGAATAGCATCCTCCCAAAATTCATGTCCACCCGGAACCTCACAATGTGACCTTGTTTGAAAAGGACTTCACAGACAGAACTGGTTAAGAGGAGGTCATACTGGGTCATGGGGAGTCCTAAATCCAGTGGCTGGTGTCCTCATGAGAGAGAGCACAGAGCGTAAGACCACCACGTGAAGACAGAGTAGAGAGATATGTCTACAAGCCAAGGACACCAAGGACGGGGCAGCCACTGGGAGCTAGGAGGCAGGGAGAAGGGTGTTCTCCCTCAGAGCCTCCGAAAGGAACCACAGCCACACCCAGATTCCGGACTTCTGGCCTCCAGATCCAACAGAACGGAGGTTATTGTAAGCCACCTGTCGGTGGCAACTGGATATGGCAGCCTCAAGAAACTAATCCTTGCCCTAGCCCAGTGGTTCTCAACCTTCCTAATGCCGCGACCCTTTAATACAGTTCCTCATGTTGTGGTGACCCCCAATTTCATTGTTACAAACTGAACAGAATTAAAGCATAGTGATTAATCACAAAAACAATATGTAATTATATATGCGTTTTCTGATGGTCTTAGGTGACCCCTGTGAAAGGGTCGTTCGACCCCCAAAGGGGTTGCGACCCACAGGTTGAGAACCACTGCCCTAGCCAGTTTGGTTAAGTGGATAGAGCACCAATCTGATCGGCCTGCGGACTGAAGGGTCCCAGGTTCTACTGCGGCCAAGTGCACATGCCTGAGTTGCTGGCTCCATCCCCAGTGGGGGGTGTGCAGGAGGCAACTGATCAATGACTCTCATCACTGATGTTTCTATCTGTCTATCCTCCTCCCTTCCTCTCTGAAATCAATAAAAATACTTTTTTAAAAAAAGAAACTAACCCACTAGTCAAGAACCTTTTTACTCCCACTGGTATGAAGCTGTGAGCTGGGCCAATTTTCACAGGACAGTTCTGGTGAGAGACCTTGCCAACCTTTCTACCTGGGCCCTTCAAGAGGCCTCCACCTGGGAAAGAAGAGAGAATTCACCTCAAACACTCCTGCCCCCACTGACTCAGGAGGTGCTGCTCCTCCAAGGGTCCCAGCTCTGAGCCCCAAGATCCAGCCTCCACCTTATCCAAGCTCCTGCCCTTCCTCAAGCCCTGCAGACCCTTCAGCTCACTGGTCATCTCCCCTCCACTGTCTCCCAAGAGCCTAAGGAACTTTGCAAGCTCCAGGTCTAACTGTTATTCCATCGATAGGGCTCAGCCGCCTGCGCTCATGGGTCAAGTTTGAACACGGCTGTCTGTCGGCCACAATGGACTGCGCCAGCTGGTCTCTGCCCGCAGCTCACCCCAGACCCTCTCCAGTTCCCTCGCCAAGGAGCCCTCTTCTCACCTGTCTTCCCTCTGACAGAGCGGAGGAGCCGGGGAGCTTCGTGGTACATGCCCTTTGGGAAGCAAGATGGCAAGTCTGGAAGGTACCAGACGGGGAAAAAAAGACAGAAGTCCTGTACCATTATGTCAGGGAACATGAACTGGGACAAAGATGAGTTAAGATCTGACAAATAAAATTTCAACAGTGAGGCCCAACCTATTGGCTGCAGGGTAAGAGCTGGTAGCCTGAACACAGAACAAAGCATACAGCCACTTAGTGGGGGAAAAAAAAGAAAAAAAAATCAACTTTAATTGCAACTGGTCAAACTGTGTCCAGGAATGTCTTTAAACAACCGAATAAAACAAACATGATAAAATTCTCCTACTGAAGAAACCAGGTTTTTGCCAGCCCCAGCGCCTGAGGCTCAGGCCAGGAGCAGCCCATATTCCAGCTGGTGTCCCCCATGCCAGTTTCTTAGGCCAAGAGAAGAACCAGGGATGGGTGAGGACCTGCCCCTCCTCCCATCATGCTGGGAACCTAGAAAGTCACTGGTGGGGTGCACCTCTCCCCCACCCCATCCTTGTCCTAAGGTAAGTGGAGACGCTCTGGACATTCTCCAGAGCCAGGAAACCAGGGAGGCAGCCTCAGTGCCCCCCTGGACATAATATGCACTGGAGGAAAAACTCAAATGCTCCATCATCTCCACAGCGCGAGTCACAGAGCAGCAGAAGACAGAGCCCTAAGGAAAGGCAGCAGCGCCGCCACTCAGAAGACACGCTCGAACTCCGTCTGGTTGGTATTGGTGGGATTGCGGCTCTGGTTAGTGGAAGGCTGGGTGATCTGGCTGCCCTTCCGGCGTGGTGGCGCCAGGTACTCGAACATGGATGTCAGGTGGGTGGAGAGCATGCCCTTGAGGTCCGAGGGCATGGGGTCAGACCAGAAGAAGTCGTGGTTGAGGGCATCGTCGCTGTCGATGCGCTGCGCAGGGTCCAGCACCAGCAACTTGTCGATGAGGTCCAGTGCGTAGGGGTCGCGCACATAGGCCTTCAGCCTATCCTTCACCTTCCGCTTCTGGCCCTTCACTAGCTCCAGCTTCTCAAACAGCTCGTACTTGTCCACATTTGGCCACACCTGGGGGAAGGCATGGAAAGAGGATGAAGTTAGTTCAGGAGAAGAGTGGCTTGTCCATTGGTCAAGCACCTGAAGGGACTAAAACTTCTCTGTTCAGATGCTTCCACACCACCCCTGGAGGGTGAACTCAACCCCTCCAAGGTCAAAGTAGCAGTGACCATGTGTTTGGCACCGAGTGCCAGGCCCTTATATATAAATCGCCTGGAGCATGTGTGCCACAGCCGACACAGGCAGTTGTTTCACAGCAGAGAAACTCGAATCAGGTGAGAAGTCCAAATGCCTTGCCCAAGGCCCCAGAACTGGTGATGGAGCAGCCAGCCTGCGCGGCTCTAAAGAGCAGGTCCTGTCCCTCCACCTGCCCCCTCTCCAGAGAGGAGCTTTCCTTCTGTCCCACTCCCCGTTCCTCCCCTGCCAGGGAGACTTCTGGGCTCTGCATCCTGCAGGGCCCAGGGGCCCAGGCAGCCTGGCCACGCACCTCAGGGGTGATGGAGCCACAGAGCTGGCTGATGAGGGCAAGCTGGTGCTGCTCCGTGTTGCCCTGCATGATAGGGCTGCGGGTCCACATCTCCGCCATGATGCACCCAGCACCCCACAGGTCAATGGGGGGGCCGTAGTCGCGCTCCCCTAGGAAGAAGAGCGCAGCAGGAGGGCCCCTTGAGCCCGAGGGCCTCCTGAGACGCAATGCCTCAGGGCCGGCGGCTCAAGAAGCCCTGGCAATGGGGGGGCTGAGGCCAGGCTAAGTGCCTAGCCCCTGCCCCCTCTGCCCACTCGGGGGTCCTCACCGAGCAATAGCTCCGGGGGCCGGTACCAGAGTGTCACCACACGGTTGGTATAGCGGTTGGGCTGGCTGTTCTTGGCCAGACTGAAGGCCCTGGCCAGCCCAAAGTCTGCCAGTTTCAGCACCCCATCTCGGGTGATGAGCACGTTAGCTGCCTTCATGTCCCTGTGCAGGATCTGCAGGAAGGGCAAGAGGGCTCAGTCAGGTTCCCAATGGTCCTTTAGCCACACCCACCCAGCAGTGGGAGCAAAGGTCAGACCAAGCCTGGGTCTCTCCTCCCCCACCTTGTTCCTGTGGATGTAGTAGAGGCCATTGAGCAGCATCTGCATGACCTTCTTGATCTCAGACAGTGTGAACCTGACTAACACGTTGCTCAGCAGCCCAGCAAGGTCATGCTCGCAGAAGTCCAACACCAGGTATATATTGCCTTTGCAGCGGTTATAGGGGGAAGCTGAGGCAGGAAGAATGGGAAGGAGGGATGCGGGTAAGAAGAAAGTAAAAAATCCCATACGCAACTCATTTTTCCACAACCAGCTCCTAAACCCCTCCAGCCCACAGACACCCGGCATCCGTCCGTGTGTTCCTTCACTGGTAAAGTATGTCCTGAGTGCCTCCTCGGGGCCGGGTGCTGTGGCAGCCCTGGAGAAGCACCAGCTACGACGAAAGGACCGGAGAAAGCAGTCACGGTAGGTATGCTTGGGTGAAGAAGAAGCAATTTAAGTGTGTCCAGATCCAACTTTGCCAACAAAGCCTGAACTTATTCCCATTTTGAGATGAAGAAAATGAGGCTTATAAGAGCCAAGCAACTTACCTTTGGTTCGACAGATCTCAATCAAGTTGACCACATTCTCATGTTTTAGAAGCTGGAGGATCTTGATTTCCCGCAAGGCCGTAATGGGGAACTGTGTGGGAGAAAGACAGATAAGCGTCCAAAGGGTGGAAGCGCACTGTAGACCAAGGAACTGGCCACAGAGTCTGTACTAAGGGGCACAGGTTGGGAGACAGAGTAAAATCTTGGGCTCTGAAACCAGCTATCGCAGATGCCCCATCTGAAAAACAGGTGTAAAGCAGTATGCACTCCTCAAGGAGTTGGTGTGAGACAATGAATCGAAATAGTGATACTTAATTGCTTCACTATTGGTCACTAAATGCTCCACTGCTTCTTTAACCTTTAAATTTTAACTCTGTGCATGTTTAACTTGCCAGGCACGAACAAAAACAACAAGAAGAACTATTAAGAAATGTCCTTGCTAAGTAAGAAGTAGGTCCCTGGAAACTGGACTAGGGCTAAGTGGGGAGAGGGACCTGCTCCTTTTCAGTTGAGCACTAGACGCTCTTTTAAATCCAATGCATGTATTTTTCATTATATATTAAGCAAAATTAAACGCTAAAGAAAAAGGGTTTAAAGACTTCCTAATTTCATAAACCGCTCTGCACTCGGTGCGAGCATGAGCTCCCCCTCCTGGCCCTAACCATAGTTGCCGAAGAATAAAATTTCAAATACTTTAAAACATTTGAACTCGGAAATTTAATTTGGAAGTCAAGTTCCCTGCACCACGGAAATTCCCGAACTACTATACATCAGTTAGGTCTCCACGTGAGAGTCCTAGAAGCAGCCAGGCGGAAACTCAAGTCGGCCGCCTGCCGCTTGACCCGTACTCACCCCCTCCTTCTCGTTCTCCATCAGGACTTTCTTCAGAGCCACCTTTTGGCCGGTCAGGCGATGCTTTGCCTTAAACACCTCCCTGCAGGTGGAGAGGGGGATCCAAAGCCCATCAGGCCCCTTTCGCGCGGCCGGCCCCTCCCCCACCAGAAGAGGCGGGCAGGGAAAAGGGTCTCCCGGGCGGGGCGGGGCCTGGTACCGAGGGCACTCGGCTACCCCGCCACGAGCTCCTTCCGGTCCCTCTCCGAGCCCCTCCTTCCTCCCCTCAGTCTCTTCTCGCCCAGGCCGCTCTCGGAGAGATCCTGCTCCCCTCCCCAGCTCCTCTCTGCAACCCCTCCCCACTTCCCATCACGGGCCTCAGGCTCCTCCCCGCCAGCCAGCTCCGTCGGGCCCAGGCGGTATGGAGCGCGGCCTAGCGAGACCAGGAGACAAGTCTAGGGCTGGGTGGCCTCCTGACCGCCTCGGGCCCGGCACCGTGCATCCCGCCGCAGGCCCTGAGGAGTGCAGGCCCAAGGCACCCAGCCCTTCCGGGCCCAACCTTACCCAAAAGTGCCTTGGCCGATCTTAGTGAGCTTCTCATATTTGGTCACCTCATCACAAAAGGGGCACTCCACTGAGTCGTATTGCTTTGCCATGGCCGCCTCCAACGCGCCACCACCGCCTCCGCTCCAGCTCCGGGTCCTGCCTCGGTGCTCCAGGCCAAAAGTGTTTACTTTTAAACTGTGTTTTCAGCCTGGCAGGTGTGGCTCAGGAGCAGACGCTTTGAGCGGGGGTGGGGGGGAGGGAGCGGGTCTCAGCCTGAAGCACTGTGAGTCTCCTCAGTTGGGGTGTTAGAGTCTCTGAGGCTTCTCCTGGATCACGGGCTGGAGTGCCTGGATGGCTCCTCACCCCACTGTAGCAGAAAGTTTCCTCAAGGAAGTTTAAAAGCTAAACCGGAAGACAAGAACACAGAATATTCATAAATAATTACACACACACACCTAACACCTACTAGAAATTATTCTAAAACCTGATTCTTAGAAAAGACCATTAGAAATGAAAAGACATAAGTGTGAAAAGTACAAATAAATAAGCAGAGTATAATAAAATAGGGGACACATCTAAAAATGCACCAGGGAAGAGTCTTAAAAAATTAAAGTTTAATCTTATGAACACCTTGTTGATAATAATTTTGAAAAGTAAAATAAATCATTTTCTCAAAAGTACATATATGCCCTGGCTAGTGTGCCTCCATGGTTAAGAAGCAACCTATGAACCAGTAGATCATGGTCGACTCCTGGTCAGGGCACATGCCTGGGTTGTGGGCTTGATCCCCAATGGGGGATATGCAGGAGGCAGCCGATCAATGATTCTCTCTCAACATTGCTGTTTCTCTCTCTCTCTCTCTCTCTCTCCCTCTCCCAAGAAAAATAAAAAGTTGTGGGGCCCACAGTCGACACCTGGCTGCGGGGCGCCTCGTCGCGTGCCTCAGTTTACCGCCACATTCCAGCTGCCGCGGGGAGCCCCTTCCTCCCCGGCTCGGAGTGTCCCCCCACCCCAACCCAACACACACACACACACACACACACTGGCAAAGGCGGGAGGTAGCCTGGGAGCGGCCTCAGGTCCTGGGAGGAGAGAACGGCCCCGCCGCCGCCTCCCCGGGCCTTCGCCACCGTTGACATGGCAACGGATGGCCGCCAGGGGGCGCGGCGACACTGGAAGGGGCCAGCGAGCAATGCTCGGGCCTTGCAGCCTTGGACCCCCTGTTCTCTGGAGACAGAGGTGAAACCACAGGACCCTCCGCACCGAGCTGCGCTGGAGCTGGTCCAGCCCTGGGTCAGAAATCACAGAAATAGCGAGCATTCACTCAGCAGCCCCGTGCGCTCCAGAAGTGAATCAACAGCCCCATAGGATCACAAACCCATTTTACAGAAGAGGACATTGAGGTTCAGAGGTGAGGCGATTTGCCCAACCAAGTTCACATAGCGACAGAGCTGGGACGCAAGCCTCGTCTGTGTGAAGAGGACCCTCCTGAGCCAGGCTCCTCAGTCTGGCCAGGAATGTAGCAATGGCGCTGTAGGAGGCCTCTGTCCTCATGCTAGGCACCAAGCCAGTACTCACCCCCGTCTCCCTGGGACCTGTGCCCCCTTCCCCTGACCCAATCTCCCCCAGCACCTTTCTGATATTTCCCTGGCTCCAGCGGCCTCCTGATTCTTCCTCCAGCTCTAGTTACTCAACCACCAGCCCCAGCAAAGCTGTCTTGTACCTCCTCTCCAGTCCCCTGCCCAGGGATGGCTGAGTTCTGGCCTCCCAGTCTGGCCGCTGCATCAGTCCCCCTCACAGCACCCACCAGATCATTCTGATCATTCTGCAGTAGAGTCTGCATGCATTTCCCTCCACTGTCTTCAGGGAAAACCCAATTGTGACATTGGAGGCTCTTTCCAGCTCCCCTCCTAGGCTGTGGCCACACAGTCTCCTGTTTCCTCACTTCCCAGCCCTTTCTGCTTTAGAGCTGTGCTCCCTGGTTGCACCCCAGAACCCCTCTACCTGCAGGAAACCCTCCAGGCCTTGGAGCAGCCTCGCAGGAGGAGTCAGACGTGGGTCTGGTGACCCTGGTGTTCCAAGAGGCCCTGTGGGGGAGGGGGGCTTCCAGGGAGGGCCTTGAGGGTGGGGTGAGGAGCAGGGAGCCCTCTCCTGAGGGCAGTGTGGAGCCAGCAGTCGAGTGACATAGGGAGTGACCTGGGTCAGCCTCATGGGTACACTGTTAGAAAGGAGACCAGTGCTAAACTGGGGGTGGCGAGGGCAAGAGGGGAGAAAATAATCATAGTAATTATAATTTATTGAGGGAAAATAAGTGATCCGAGCCGTACACTTGGCGTTTTATGAGAATTACCTCAGTGCTCACCTAGCCATAGGAAGCGGGTACTTCTATCACTTCCATTGTACACGTAGGACGCTGCAACTCAGAGGTGACATCCCCGGCCAGAGTCAGACAGCTGCCTGTGGCCGCACTGTAGTTGAACCAGGTCAGTCTGGCGCAAACCCCAAGCACCTACCCACGTCAGGACCCTGCCCTCTGGGCTGGGGATGGAGCTGGGGCACAGCCAGGGCACAGCACCAGGATGGGGGCCCTGGGTGCTGATGGGGGTGTGGGAGGGGACAGTAGCAGCCGGGGTTTGCCATGGTTGGGGTGGCTTTCACTGTCAGACTCTCAGGACAGGGCCCCTGCCTACTTCCCACCAACCCTCCCACATCCTGTGGGCAGAAGAAGCTTCAGCAAGAGTTCCGGTGGTGTCATCACCTCCACCCCACCGTCTCTGGCCTGAACCCCAACATTGCCAGTCACTTCCCTTCGGGGCCCTGTGCCCCCAGCCTTTCCCGGGGAAGGAGGGCAGACGGGAGGGGGCAGGCGCCCCCCAGAAGGCCGGGACTCCAGATCACTCGGGCGGAAGAGAGAAGAAGTGAGGTTCTACCTGGAGATGGTTTTTCTCGGACTGATTTGTTGGTTTGAGGGAAACCTTTCCTGCTTCCATGGGTCAGCTAAGCCAGTGAGCCCAGGCCTGTGGCCAGTACTCAGTAAATGTTCGCTGATTGACCAGGCTCTGAGAGAGCCTCTGGGCTTGCTGCCATTTCACAGTCAGGGAAACTGAGGCAAGGGAGCTGCCGGCCAGCTGTCAGACCCTGGCCCGGACCCTCTGTTTTCTCCCCATGACCAGGGACAGGGTGGGGAGTGTATGGAGGGAAGGGGAAGGCCGGCTCATGGAATGGGCTGCGCTTGGCTGCTGGTATGGCCGGGAGATGAGGGGTCTCTGGATAGGGGGGTACAGGACCGAGAGTGGCCGTGTGATACCCACAGCCCGACACCACCTTGGACATTCTGCCCCAACTAGGAGGGCACTGACTGTCCCTGGCCCTGTGCGGATATGTGTTGTACCCCTGGAACTTCACAGCACCCCTCTTAGGAGGTTCCTGTTTTTGGCCCCCAGTTACAGAAGAGGAAACTGAGGCTCAGAGTGGTGAAGGGGCCTGCCCAAGTCCACACAGCCAGGAAGCTACGGAGCTGCGATGCAAAGCCGGGTCCTCGCAATGGCTGGGGTTATTTCCCGTCATCCTACACCAGTGATGGCGAACCTGTGGCACCTCTGACACGCGAACTCATTTTTCTGGTTGATTTTTCTTTGTTAAATGGCATTTAAATCTATAAAATAAATATCAAAAATATAAGCCTTTGTTTTACTATGGTTGCAAAGATCAAAAAATTTCTATATGTGACAGGGCACCAGAGTTAAGTTAGGGTTTTTCAAAATGCTGACACGCCGAGCTCAAAAGGTTCGCCATCACTGTCCTACACTGTCCCCCAAAACCAGACAACTGGGGCCAGCCCGGGACAGGAATCTACTGAGAACTGCAGCAGGCGTGCAGCCAGTATGGATGCATAAGACCAGTTCCTCTCCGGGAGCCCGAGGTCTGTCCGGAACATGCAAATAAAGACACAAATAATAAGATGCTAGCCTCAGTATAAATGTTTTATTTCATTGCCACAGGATCATGCGAGGGATGTTACATAGGGTGTCCCAAAATTCATGCAAGATTTGCAATTGATTGAATTGAATTGCAAATCTTTCGTGAATTTTGGGACACTATATTTGTCCCATTTTAGTAATGGGAAAAATGATGCTCACAGGTGATTGACATGCCCAAGATCATGTAGATGCGGTCTGAACTCAGGTTTGCTTGAGTCAAATGCCTTTGACTGTGAAGTTGAAGGCCTAACAGGACCTGGCCAAACTGCAGGCAACTGAGTCACAGACGGGGGCAGGCGGGAGGGGACGGAAATCAGAGCAGGCTTCCTGGGGGCGGTGTGGCTCAGTCTCGACCTGCAGGACTCAGTGGAAGCTGCCTTCTGCTGTGGGTCCAGCCCGAGGCCGCAGGGAGGAGAGCTTGGTGCGTTCGGGGTGTGGAGCCGAGCGTGGCTGGCCTCCAGCACAGGCTGAGGAGGGCCTGTGGGACAGCCACCCGCCAGCAGGTCCCCAGCCGCACTCCCAACGGCCACTCGAGGCAGCACAAAGGGGGCTCTGAGCTCAGCCCAGCCGCCACACTGAGCCCCATTCATTCTCCCAGGGATGTTGCAATTGCCCTGGCGCCAGGGCCAACGACAGGGCCCCCAGCACTGACAAGGCAACTCCACCCCCAACACAGCCTCCAGGTGGCCGGACTCCGGGGGTCTCACACCATGTGCCTGCTGCTGGGGTTTCCTGGCCTGACCCGTTCCCATCCCTCAGCACCAACTGCCGAGGTTTGCTGAAGCCACAGCGTGCTGGCCTGGGCCAACACTTGCTCCTTTCATCCAACTACCCCAGGAAGCCAGAGCCGTGGGACCTGTTTCACAGATGAGGAAACTGAGACGCAGAGCGGTCAAGTCTCTTGTGAAGGATCACACAGTAAGAGTGGGCCTGGCCGGGAAGCCAGCGCTGGCTGCTGCCACGGCCTCAGCAGGTAGCCCACGTCACTGGGATGCCTCCTGGGAGAGAAGCCAGGGACCCTCAGCTACTGCCAGGCCCCAGGCCCCTCTCCTTCTAGCAACAACGCAGAAATGGGAGGGGCACCAGCCTGGGAGCTAGGGCACCTGCATGTCTGTCCAGTCTCTGGTCTTCTTTAGCCTCGCTTTCCTCATCTGTGAAATGGGACAGTACCAGGATATGCCTCACAGTGGAAGCTTCTAGCTCCATGCCTGGCTGGTGCTTTGGCCTCATGGGCTGTGTTCCTTTTCTCACAGCTCTAGTTTAGCCCCAGAGGCCTGGATAATAATGCCACACCATTGTGGGTTGCCTCTGTGGGTTGACTGCTTACCCTACACTTGTGCCCATTCTAGAGATTAGGTGACTGAGGCTTCAGAGCAAGCATGTCAAACTCGCAGTCAATGGCCCACAACGAATATTTTGCGGCCCAGCCAATATAACAGTATGTAAGAAACGTTTTAATAAAAATTTCATAATTTTTACAATATCCTATTATACATAATTATTAGTAACGAACTACAACATTTGCTAATGACTGATTACTAGAATCGTGTTGCATTCATTTTCCTTACGCGCCTTATGCGCAGGTGCACCATGTCTCTCCACTAATACCAGCAGCGAGTATTTTAGCAGCTGATTTGCCACGTCATTAGTCTTGGACTGACTGGTTTGGTGTGCGCAACAGGAAGTATTTCACTTTCGGAGAACAAGAAAAATAGGCTTATTTGCATTACGCTTATTGATTTGTGCAGTTATTCAGTGTCTGGTAAGTTAATATTCAAGAAAAAATATTAATTCATTAAAATGTTCTATTATTTTATGTGAACGATGACTCATTTATTTCAGCCCTTTGTGTTCAGCATATCTCTATCGAAATAAACCTACGTTTCTATGAAAATTGAAGCTTTTGTTTTTTTGCGGCCACATGAACGTCAACCTTGTTTATTTGGCCTGTGTTAGCCTTTGGGTCTGACATCTTGCTTCAGAGGCTCCGATAACTTGCCTGTGGCACAGAAGTAGGACTTGAAGCCCATGGTCTTGTGGCCCCACCCCGTCCTCATCACCTGTTTAGGGGAGGTTTCATTTCCTCATCTCTGTCCTGCCCGTGTGAGTTTACACACATGCACACACATAGGTTGTACGGTGGAAAGCACCAGGCTGTGAGCTAAGGGACTTGGAAGGGCAAGTTGTAACCCAGTTTGTGCCACCAACCCACTGTGTGACCTGGGGCAATCCCTCTGCCTGCCTGGGCCTCAGTCTCCCATGTCTGTACAATCAGTGGGGTGGACCAAATAATCACTGCGTCCCTGGTAGCTTGAAAAGGAGTGACCGTGCCTTGGTGGGCACCAATTTAGTGCCAGGCTTTGCACCAAGCCTGGGCACTGTGAGGTGGGCACTGCACATACCCAGCTCACAGGGAGGAAACAGGCTCAGAGAGGTGAGTGCCTTAGCCCGATCACACAGTGACACAGTGGCCAGCCAGGACTCGAACTTGGGTCTGGGTCGTCCCAGCGCCCACAGGCCTAACCACTGCAGCCAGTCCATCCCCAGGCGGCTTAGAATAAACTGCCCCTGCGCAGGCCTGACGCCCTGCACCCTCCCAGCCCAAAGACCAGACCCCCTGACAGCTGTTGGCAGGTCCCCAGCGGTCCCCAGCCCAATGGGCTCCGTTCCCAGAGCCAGTGGTTTGTTCCCCAGACCTTCCAGTCCCACGGGCTTGTGGTCTGCCCTCCGCCCCCCCTCCCCCG